GAGGAGAGATGGGGGTGAGGGGAGGGAGAGGGAGAAGGGACTTACATGTGAAAAAAGTTCCCTAACAAGAACTAATAAATAAATTTAAAAAATATTACCTGCCAATATAATAAATTATAATGTGTTATTCAAAGCAAACTCACCTATTAAAATAAGTGAGTTTGGTGCTGGACATTTGTAACTCAAATTCCAGGAAACCTGATGCCCTTTTCTTCTGATGCATCTTCAGGCATCAGTTGCACACATATTACTCATATACGAATAGAGACAGAAGACAAAATCCACATAAAATTAAGTATTTTTAATTGGACTTAAACCAAGATTTTTGAATGACTCAAATTCTAGCATTCAAATTGTGGAAAATTCTAAATATCCCTAGTATTTCATTAGTATCAAAATACTGAATTTGAGCACTTGGGAAAGGGTCTGGAAAAAGTAATTGTTTCCAGTGCAGAATAACAAAAATATCTCACATTTTTAAGATGTGTAAAAATACGATATATGAAAAGAAGCAGGAGGATGTGAGCATGGATCCCCAGCGTCCATGGCATAGTCAGACAGGGTGGTAGACACTCAGGGAGGCAGGAGAGGAGGGTCCTAGGCACTTGCTGCTCTACATCATGAGCTCCAGGTTCAGTGAGAGATCCTGTCTCAGAAAAATAAGGTGACAAAGAAGACACCCAAAGTCACTCTTTCACCTCTTATATGCACACAAGTATGAGTGAATTCACACATACAAATATATACTCCATATACACAAGTAAAAATTTAAAGTTATAAAAAAGGCAAAAATATGATATATGAAATACCCAAATTAATATTTTTATTCTTTTAGGATGGTATTTCATACCTTTGTGTTTTCAGTACAAACTAAATAATTATATGACTAAAGTTTAAATTCTACATTTCATACATAAAATTGTTTTACAACATTTAAACCAAATGTTGTGACTGATTAAATTTCTCTTTCTTTCTTTTTTTTATTTTGACCTTGAATCAACAGTTTCAAAGGAATAAGCAGTTAATAAGGTTTTAACAGTCAGTGCTGAGAGAAAATATTTTCAGTAGAATATTCATGTTTTATTTTCCTAATTTCTCTAATGTAGTTGAGAGTGTTCATATCTCTTGACCGGCAGATACCATATTTGAATTTTCTTAAATGACAAGGTAATAAGTTTAGTTTGAGAAATCAAGTTTAAACCTGCAATCTAGTGGCTGGAGAGATGGCTCAGAGATTAAGATAAGAGCACTGGTTGTTGTTCCAAAGATCCTGAGTTCCATTCCCGGCAACTACATGGTGGTTTACAATCACCTTGAATGAGATCTGGTGCCCTCTTCTGGCCTGCAGGACACATGCAGGCAGAATACTGTATACTTAATAAATAAAATCTTTAAAAAAATAAACCTGCAATATACATATTTAATAAACTATATATATATATATATATAT